GAAAAACTCAATTACTTCTTATAAGGTTGGTCTGGTTTTTACAGATTCCCTTAATCTCTGTTTATTTGAATATGTCTTAATTTTTCCATCTTATCTGAGGGAGACTTTTGCTGCATATACAACTTGTGGTTGGCATTTGTTATTCTTTCAGGGCTTTATATATCATCCCATTGCTTTTGTGCCTGCATGGTTTCTGCTGAGAAATCAGAGCTTAGTTCCATTGGTGCCCCTTTGTAGATAACATTTCGTTTTTCCCATGCTGCTCTCAGAACTGTGTGTCTTTTGTTTTAGAAAGTTTGATTATGATATATCTTCTTGATTTTCTTTTGGAGTCTATCCAATCTTGTGTTTGTTGAACTTCTTGGATGGGTATCTTCCCCTCTTTCATGATATCAGGGAAATTTTCTTCAAGCAAATCTTTAAAAATGTTCTGAGGTGTTTTTTTGGGGTGAGGTGGGATGGGTGTCTCTTTCTGTTCTGGAATTTTGATCACATGCAAATTATTCCTCTTGATGGTGCTCTATGTAAAACCTTACACTTTCTTAATTCTTTTTTCTGATTGCTCCTCTAACGTACCAGAATGAAGAGATCTCCTTCTATTTCAGTGGTTCTGCCTTCCATTGATTCACTTTACTTCTTTGTCCCTCCAATGCATTATCTATTTCTGAAATTTTAGTTTTAATCTCTTGGATTCCTATTTGTTGTTTCTCTATGGTTTCTAATTGTCACTTTGTTCTTGTCTTGTTTTTCTGAATTCTTCTACAGTTTTGTCTGTGTTTTCCTTGATCTCTTGGAGGGCCTTATAAATAAGTCTTTTGAACTTCTTATCTGATAGATAGTTCCTTTAACATTTCTTCCTTGGAGAAGTTTCCAAGGAAACTGTATTTTGGTTACTTGCTGGAGGCCGTCTTGTCTTGTTTCTTTAGGTGATTTGACATTGTCAGCTGTTTCTGAAGCATTAGGATGTTATTATATTTATTTAGTGCATGTTTGCTGTGTCCTGTTTTTTTTTTGTTATGTTTTGTTTTGATGTATGCAGGGAGGTAGGATTGGAGTGCTGAGTGTGGCTGCAATGGAGTGCTTGCCTCCCGTCTCTGGGTGGGTTAGGTAGCGGCTGGGTGTATGTGTGTGAGCATGAGAGTCTGTTCGCTGGTCTTTCAGTGCAGCTGAGGGAGGTTTGGGTAGGTGTTGGCTGCTGTCTGTACTCAGTCCAGTGGCACAGGAGCAGGTGGTGACACTAGCTGAGTGGGTGGGAAGGCAGGTGTGGAAGGAGTGGCTGGTTAGTGTCACCACCTCCTGTTGTGTGTGGGGGTAAGCAGTGGGAAGATGCATGTATGGTCCCGCTGCTGCCAGTTCTCATGTGCTACAGGAGGAGCTTGAGTGGCATGTCAGCATGTGTGTGGTCATGCATTCACAGCACCTTGGCAGGCAGGGGAAGTGGGGAAGAAGTGGTGGGCAGGCAGGTGTGGGCCATGCTGCTGCCACCTCTTGACAGGCAGGGAGCAGGGAGCTCAGCTGGATCGATGGGTAGGTAAGCAGGGCAAACAGACGATGCCACACTCAAACAGGCTGCTGCTGCCCAGCTGGGTTCGTGGGTGGGATGGGTGGGGAGAGTAGCAGACACTATTCAGGTGGGTCAGTAGGCAAGAGGGGCAGAGTGGTGGCCAATGCCATGCTAGAGCAGTCTGCTGTCACTTAGTGGGGACATCGGGTTGGGAGAGGAGTGGCAGTGGGGGCAAATGCAAGGTAGCAAAGGGATGGGCTGGGTGGGGAGGAAGTGGGGCTTTTACCTTGGTCCCTGGCAGTTGGGCTGCAGGGATAGGGGAGTTTATGCCGCTAATCACCAGGCAGGTAGGATAGGGACAATGTGCTCCTCTGACTACCATGTGAGGGGGCCTGGACTTTTCCCATTCGGTGCAGCCATCAATCAAGACCCTATTTCCCTCTGGATATTTCCTCACAGTTAGTCTATGTCCTGCTGGGAATTCTGTGAAGGTGCCTTCTATGTCCCTCACCCCAGGATTGCTGCTGTCTTTGTATCAAAATGGCTAAGTATGCTGGGCTGGCTGGCAGAACCTTTCTGTTCCATCTCTTCTTGTTTGCTGTTTCAGTAAGTTCCTTCTTCCAATTAGTGTTCAATTCAGTTCTTTATCCTTTCATTTGTTACTTAGGATTTCAGGATTGCCCTCTATACCTGTTTAACTTAGTTTCTTGGGTCTTTTGTGTCGAGGGACAGCATGGCATGTCTGACTAAGCTGCCATTTTGGCCAGAAGTCTGGAACTTTGTTTTGTTTACAGGGGAACTGGTAAAAAATAAAAATAAAAACTAAACTAAACTACCATGTGAAAGGTGCTGAATAAATATTTGTTGAATAGATTCTAATTGCATTTATTCACTCCTGTTAGTAGGTAGAATGTATTTCCCAGCTTAATGGCTCCTGTATTCAGAGAAAAAAAGCTCAGGAATATTGTCATTCAGCGTCTTTTCTGATAGCAAAGCCACCTGTTCCAGAAAGCTCTCAGAGTCTGTTAATAATGTTAATAATGTTGTTGTTTTTGTTATGTGCCGTCGAGTCAGACCTGACTCATAGCGACCCCTCCTTGGGTTTCCGAGGCAGTATCACTGCAGAAGTAGATTGCCCCATCTTCCTTCCGAGGAGTGGCTGGTGGGTTTGAACCGCCAACCTTCTGGTTAGCAGTCAAGTGCCTTAGCCACTAGTAACTGTTAATAATAATAACTGTTAATAATGGGGACAGACACCAACAACACACTCCTTACCAGACACAGTGCACAGATACAAAATAAGACAGCGAGGATGTGGCCCTGGCTGCAGCAGCTATCTGGCTCCCAGGAGCACTCACCACCCTCAGCCTCTCTACCTGCCCTTTCTCAATGCCCCAATCACACAGCCAGGCGGGCAATGGAGCTTCCTCTAGAACCTTGAGACTGGACATTGTTAAGAAAGGTACTGTTTGTATCAGGAAGGAATGAAAATGCATTAGAATATAGTCTATGATGTCTTTATTTTTCCCGGATTATAAAAACAGTGTATCTTTTGATTAAAAATTATAAAAATTAATGATGAAATTAAAAACACCTCATTATTTTGTGACTAAAAGATAATAACTATAAACAATTATGTATGGATCCTTTTGGATCTTGTATATATACATGAATAATTCACTTACTTTTTCATTTATTCAAATAAATATCCCTCAAGTCAACCTGAATTCTAAAATTTTAACTGCATATAATTTTGGACTACACTGTATATTTCTGGGACACAATTAAATCGGAACCTATTCAAAGATTGTTGTTTCAATCTTAAGTCATCAGAAGCAGCAATATGTCTTATGTTACTGAGCACTTTTGAGGGAAAATGGGAAAGTACTTTTTTTATTTAGCTTCCTTTCTAGTAGTAAACCTTATCTGCTCCAAAAGGCCCCTAGATCTTTTCACAGTGCAACAAACTGCCGTGGAGTCAGATCCGATTCACAGCAACCCCTCCTTGGGTTTCTGAGACAGTATCACTATGGAAGTAGATTGTCCAGCCTTCCTTCCAAGGAGTGGCTGGTGGGTTTGAACCCTCAGGCTTCTGGTTAGCAGTCACATGCCTTAGGCACTATGCCACCAGCGCTCCTTAGATCTTCTTGCCATTGGAAAAAAAAAAAAAAAAGACTAAATCTATTATATATCAGACAACACATGCCTGCCAGATTTAGCTAGCTGCTATAGTTTTATTATCTCTAAGTGATATAAAGTCTACATTTCTTTCTTTGTAGACCTAATAGATTACCTGAAGTGTGTATACAATTCCCAGTGACTAAAATTCCTCCCCTGGAATGAGACTGGATGGGACCCTGAAAATAAATACTCTGGTCTTTTTGCTTCTCCCTTGGGTTTTATGTGTCTGGAAGAGACCTAGTGCTTAGGATACACAGTTCGTCATGTTTAAGGATTAGATCCTTCACCTCTTCAGCAATAGGGAAGTCTGAGGACCTTTCTGAGCCTCAGAATCTTGGTAAAAATCAGCAGATTGCGATTAGTGTATGATTTCTAAGTATCTTCCATTTTTCAAAAGGTAAAGCCTCTGGTTTCTGAGGTCCATCAATCATCAGAAGTGTGTATAACAAGACAAATGGGTGAGAAATATGGACTGAAATTCTAAGGCAAGAAAGCAGAGTTACCATGTCACTTTGGAGCTACATATACAAAAGTGCCCTATTAGTTATTACCGGTACATATAATTGAGTTCTGATAATATCAGGTAGAAAGTTCAACCTCCATAAATAGCCTCAGAGCACTAAATTTACTAGTAGAAAATTTCTGCCAAGCCTCACAGCAATAACCATTAGTCTTAGAAAAACTCTCCCATGGAAATCCAAAGAAAAATAAAAAATTATAAATAGGAAACACAAACTAAATTCAATGCCACCTTTTGCAAAGATCTCTATTTAGATTTCTATTTAGAGACCTATTGCAAAGGTCTCTAAAATAACCTTTAAGGCAACAAATGTAAAACTCATAACAAATAAGAGAATGGATTCGAGAGCCCAGCAAGGTACTAGGCATGACCATTTATGTAGCTATATAGTAAATGTTCAATACATGTTAGTTCCATTTTCTTCCTCCTCTCTTTCTTTATAGGGTCAATTTTCAACAAGAAATATCCAATTTTAAGTATATGATATTTGCCTTGAAGACTTAAAGTAAAATGTTTGAAGCAATAAAACCCATTGCTATAGAGTTGATTCTGACTCATGTGACCATATAGCACAGAGTAGAAGCGTCCCATACGGTTTCCGAGCCTGTAAACCTCTACAGAAACAGATTGCTGTTTTTCTTCTGCAGAGCAGCTGGTGGGTTTGAACCACTAACATTTTCGTTAGCAGCTGAGTGCCTAACCGCTGCACCACCAGGGATCCTTCTTAAGTTGTATATTTATTCAACTTGGAAGAGGGAAACACAGTTCTCTTTTATAAAACCAATGGATGCTGACCTGAATTTAAGTCTCGTCCTGGATTGAAGGCCCGGCTATTAACGGTATTAGAAAGTCGATCACAACTGATTGTTCTAGACACATTGGTGTTAAAGTTTCCATCAAATCTGAAACAATACAAGAAAATTGTAAAATTAGAAGAAATCATGTATTGGCTATACAATCCAGAAAAACAAGTCAACAACAACAATGCTTCATACTGTGTACAAAAGTGATCAGTTCATAAATAGTAAAATAATAGTTTGGATTTCAAATATACAAAAAAAAAAAAAAAAAAAACCAAAACCAAAAACACTTCAGAACAGTGTGGAAAAAGAACAACACTTGCATTTAGAAGGCTTTAGAAATCAAGTTCAAATTCTAGGGAGATAAAAAAATTAACTATCCTTAGAATCAATTCCTCTTAATAAAACTGAGTCAGGAACTATTGATAAAATCACACAGAAAATAAATTTGACAAAATACAGACTGGAATTACAAAATCCAAATTGAATTCTGATTTAGTATGTCAAACAGAAGTATTTCTTTAAATTATCCCAGCTGAAAACCAATAACCAACAACAAAAATAGATAGTAGTGAAGGAGAAAGCATGGCTCTCGAGTAGGAAGGACCTGGATCTCAATCCTGGTTTTGTCATTGATTAAATGTGTGACCCTGGTGGGGTTGGGGGGTATGCTAGAGCAAACAATAATCTGAAAGAATATAAAAGGAAAATGTGCCAACTCATTTATATGTAGTTAGTATTTTTAAGCGAATTTAACCCATAAGTAACAAAAGTTCATATAAGCTGCCCAAATAAATTAAAATTGAAATTACTGTTTTAAAAAAATGTGTCAAAATGTATATTCAGGTGATAAATGCCATTTATGAAATTCCACTAAGATAAGTAGAGACACTACAACCAGGGAGAAACACCTCCAAAAATCAAGTCCATTTGATTATTCACATGGATTCTGACCATCTGTTGATCACATTTCATAATATATAAGAACAATTAAATTGATGCAATTTGTATAAGCAGGTGGGATAGGTTCTCACAAGATGTGCTGTGTTCAACAGCAAAAGTTAAATAGTTTTGTTTAGATATGTATCATTTTTCAAAGCAGGAGGGAACTCTATTTTAAGAGGCCTACAGTTCAGTCTCTAACCCAGGGCAGAATCACATCAACAATACCAACTGTCTCAAAGGATACAGTTGTTTCATGAACATAGTTGTTCCTCCTTGGACCTGGTCCAACTTGTCTAGACAAGAAGACTGATGCCCCCAAAGCCACAACTGGAGAAAAAAAGAGATTAACACAGCAGCAGTTGCCTATATGTCTGCTGACAAAGCAACATCACTATAATCTCACCGTCCCTCTTGTTTCGACATCTGAATACCTGTGAAGCAAGAGTGGCATCGCACAAGCAACTCTGGTTTGATGTTTTCATTCAAACTCATGAAATAGGATAATGACACAGGTAACTTCCACATGACTGGATTTAGTTCTGGAAACCATTTCATGCTCTAAAGGTTGAACCTATACGATTTCAGTTGTCTGGCTTCGCTTCCCTCTTCTGCCTCAATTTTAGCACCTTTACCTCTTGGCTCAGGATCCCTGGGAGTCCCGTGGTTAAAGTAGTCAGCTGCTAACTGAAGTCGGCAGCTGGAACTCACCAGCCACTTCACTGGAGAAAGATGTAGCAGTCTGGTTTCCTACAGATTTACAGCCTTGGAAATCATGCGTCAGAATCAACTCAATGGCAACAGCGTTTTTTTTTTTTTTTTTTTAATGCTCTATATTCTAGCTAGCTACGCTAAGTCTATTCCTTCTCTAGACCAGGGTTGACAAACTTTTTTTGTAAAGGGCCAGATAATGAAAATTTTAGGCTTTGTGGGCTATACAGAGAATGGTGTTTACAAAACACAAAATTGTAACTACTCAACTCTGACAATGTAGTGTGAACGCAGCCACTGATAATAAAAGAACAAGAATAGCTATGTTCCAATTAAGTTTTATTTACAAAGATGATGGCAAATCAGACATGGCCCATGACCCACAGTTTGCCCATCCCTGGTCCAGACCAGCATTGTCTGAGAGAATTCTCTGTGGTGATGAAAGTGTGTCGTATTTGTGCTGTCCAATATGGTAGCCATATGTGGCTACTAAGCATTCGAACAGTGGCTCCTGTAACTGATACTCTAAATTTTCAATTTTATTTAAACTTATTTAAATATATGTAGTCATCAGATAGTGGCTAACTATTTTGGACAATGTAGGCCTAGTAAGTTCTCCTGACTGTTTGCCTAGTCCTCTTCAAGTCTCTGCCAAAATATCACTTCCCCAGAAAACCTTATCTTCGTTGTAGATGGCTTCCCAATCTATGTCAATTGCCCCCATATTATCACAAAGAGTGTGCCAAAATGTTTATACATCCATTGTGTATTTCTTATGACATCAGGCTCTGTGACTAGACAAGAGCCCCATGATTTTGAGCTTTGGTGGTGTAGAGCCTAAGGCATTTGACTGCTAACCAGAAGGTCGGCAGTTCAAACCCACCAGCAGCTCCACAGAAGGAATATGGGGCGATTTACTTCTGTAAATATTAACGGCTTCAGAAACCTAATGGAAGTCACTATGAGTCGGAATTGACTCGATGGCAGTGAGTTTGGTTGGGTTTGGTTACATGCTTAATGCTTAGCACTGTATTTGGCAAAGATAGGTGCTCAGGTGAATTAGGCTTTCATGAATAATCAGTGTCCAGCTCTGTTCTGGGCTCCTCTGGAGGCCTTTAAAACCAAGTGAAAATTATGGCTCCAATAAAAGTTTCTCAAATATTAAACGTATGACAACATCATAATCACCTGGCATGCTCATCAGAATGCAGATTCCTGGGATCTGTCTTCAGAGAGTCTGATTTAGTGAGTCTGAAGAGAGGCCTAGCAGTCTGATTTTGATGAACAGTACAGAAATAAGAACCTCTCCAATTCTGCCAGAATTGACAGCATTTCTGTTAGAAATAAAGTAGAGAATGGATTTCTCCACGAAAACAGATACCTCTCCCAAGTATGCCTCAAAGGATCAAAGACAGAATGTCTTCTGATTTGAATCAGGAGAACAGAGTGGTTTTTAACTACATCTACAGCTCAGATTTGTACTTCACTATACAACTTACGAAGCCTTTTTTATACCTATACGTACCATAGTTGAGAAAAGCAATGTCAAAAATCACAGTTCAAGTCACGGACCTAACAGACCTGAATCCATCACCCAATTCCCTGTCCAGTGATGAGCTACTACACCATGCTGCTTAATTTATATGCTACATTAGGAAGGACTTGCTGAAAGGGGCAAACCTACAGAATAACTAGCAATTCCTCCCAATAGAAGTGTAAGTTCTGGAGAGAGCCCTGTTTGCCTAGATAGAGCCTTCATATCCAGGACCTCTGCTATCAGTCCTGTTAATTAAGAAGGCTGAAGTCCAGTGCTGAGTAGGCATTGCTTCCCTGGGCATTTGTAAAGTGAGAGCTGGTTCCTGGAGACCAGGGGACTACTGCTATGGGTTGTTTTCCTTTCTGTATTGAAAAGATCATCACTAAGGGCATTAAAGAAAATGTTTCTATAACAATAAAAGTAGAGGTGACTCTATAAATAAAGTAGGTACTGAGTAAATAATTATTGGTCATTAAAAGGTTACACAGTATAATAAAGAAAAAAAAAATACAAAACTCACTGCCATCGAGTTGATTCCAATTCATAGCAAACCCCCTTTGGTTTCTGAGGAGGTAAATCTTTATGAAAGTTGACTGACCCATCTTCTTTTCATGGAGTGGCTGGTGGGTTTGAACCACCAGCCTTCTGGTTAGCAGTCAAATGCCTCAGGCACTACACCACCAGAGCTCCTTACTTAGTGTAACAACCTTCTCTTTCCACAGTCTCCCAAACTATAGCTCTAAGCAAATCAGTCACCCAATGTATGTGTTTGTGTGTGTGTGTGTGTGTGTGTTTCTGCTACCACCAACTGTAGCTGGTGTCTAGTGTAAGCATCCTTCAAAGCCTAACTCAAGTAATTTTTTCTTCCTGAATTTACTTGTCATTCTTCCTCCTGACAAATGCCATTCTGTTTTTATATTCCATTCCTGTGTCTCTATTTCCTATATTTTCATATTATTTTGTAAACAGGTTTAGCATAGTGTTATTCATAGAAGATGTCTGTTTCGACATAACACTGACCAGTTTTAGACTGTGCCTATATCAAGAAAATCAACTTACCTATAATATTTGAAAAGTAAGATTTGTTATAAGTAATTATCATTATTATAGCAAATTATCTTAATTATTTTACCTTCCCCATATACCAAATAAAGTGTAGTAAGTGGAGGTGGGATGCCAAGATTTTGCTGTGGAACCCCCATTGTTTAAACCCACTACTCAACACTTGAACTTCCCCCACTAAAACCAAACCCACCGCCATCAAGTTGATTTTGACTCATAGCAACCCCCATTGGGTTTCCAAGGCTATAAATCTTCTTGGAAGTAGATTACCTCATCTTCCTCCCATACGCCAGCTGGTAGGTTTGAACCGCTGACCTTCTGGTTAGCAGCCAAATGTGTTGCACACTACACCACCAGAACTCCCAATTCCCCTAAAACATTTTATGGACTTGAGAGGTCTTTGTTCCCACAATAGGAACTGTTAAATTACTTAAGGATTTATGTCTTGCTCAGGTCAGGTCTAGTACATTGCTGGTAATGTGTGATACTCCATAAATTCTTAGTGAATGACTGATGAATGAGAAAGGACAGAGAGATAAATCATCAAAAAGTTTTGGATATTTCATTAATGTTCAGTGAATATCACTGATATGAAATTCATATTCACTGAACAGCTATGATGAACAAGGCATTGTCACCCAGGCAAAGCAGGATTATGTCATGGTCAGGAGCACTGATTGGTCTTAAAGTGAAACCGACTTGGGCTACAGTTTGGGTTTAATTTCTTAATACTGTATAACCTTTGCACAAAACTTAAATTGTCTAAGCCTTTATTTTTTTCATTTATAAAATGGAGTTGACAATTGTAGCTACTTCATAAGATTGTGCTGAGAATTAAATCAGAAAATGG